GTCGAGTAAAGTACTCTCTCTCTCTCTCTCTCTCTCTCTCTCTCTCTCTCTCTCGAGCAATAAAGTCGGATTAATTACACCCTCCTCTCGTAATTTCCCTCCTTTGTCGATTTCCCCCCAAATATATTTCTCATCGTTATTTTCACATCGAAACATATATAAAGCGAAAACGCGCACGGAACGCAATCTCTCGAAACCTGCGTCGTTCCGTTCCGAAATTGAAATCGCTGAAAAACTGGATCCGTTACAACGCAAGTTACAACGAACAAGTCCTCCGATGAAATTTCCCTCCCTTGACGGGTATAATTGACGTGAGGGCGTCGTTCGCGGTTGAGACATCTGAGAGAGGAGAGGAGATCGCGAGAGGAAAGTCGGGAGTTGCGAACTATGCGAGCGACGTGTAGACGCCTCGAGGTGTACGTCAGATGCAAATCATGCTCACTAATTTCCCGGAAAACTAACGAATCCCGAGGGCGCGCGGCCCAAATATCCGCCCGACTCGCCGAGAGACGTTTCGTTGCGCGTCCCGATAATCCGAAATTAGCAAATTAATTAATTTTCCTGCCGGAATTATTTCCTCCGATATTCGAATTCTACGGCCGAAACCAAATTAACGGGAGAGAGAGAAAGAGAGGGCGCATCGATCGCGCTCGAAAGGAAGGGAAAAATAGGGAAATACGAGACTCGCGTTCGGTCAGGTCGTTGGCAAGAGCGACTCGGCATTTAACTCTAATGTCAAACCGCGACATTTCTTCGACCTTTCTGCTCCTAGAGAAGAACGGCTAGGAACGCTTCTTTTCGCTCGAGCTCGAGGTTAGTTTGGTAGTAGAGGCGGATCGAACGAGGTGAATTTAAAATATAATCCGCTATTAAAAATAGAATTTTTTTTTTGCAGCATGTAAACGGGGCTGGTATCGCGATCGCGGGGCCGAGAGTGAAAATAGAAGGAGGAGGAGGAGGGGGGGGGGAAGAAAGAAAGAAAAAGAAGAAAGAATGGAAGGATATGGAGCCGCACGGGGAAAGGTTAGCTCGGCGCGCTCCTACGGGAAGCACGTGACCATCGAGCGAAGCCGATTACTGGTTAAAGATACGTGGAAAGTATAGTTTCTTTCGTGGTCGAAGCGGTAACGTGCAACCCTTAAGGCGAGGCATTGGTTAGGGGTCGAAGCGGTTGACCGTAGGCAAAACGGAAACGGATGTGGCCGTTGGGTCACGCGATCTCCACGAGTCGAGCATAAAACACCTGAGTTGTTTAATCATACGCTCCTAACCCGAGTCGTGCATCGTAAACTCGAGAGGGTAGCCACCTCCTTTCTCTCTTCCTCCCTCGGATCGCTCTTCTTCCACTCCGCTCGTCTCCTTTCGCAGAGATGCATGGCCGGATAAAAGTACTCCGTTTATCCATTAACAGGTATGTTCCGTTTACGGCATCGATAAAAACGATCGTACGCGAAACAATTTACGACAGATATCGATGAAACAACATCCTGTAATTCTCTCGATTTGCGTCAATCTTTCGTCTCTTCGCTTTCTGCTTCGATGAACGATACTTTACTTACTTATCTCTTAAATGTAGAAAATATATATATATATAATCTCTTTCAAGAGTTATCATTATTGTACGCGCTATCAGTGCTAATTAGACGGAGAGTCTTAGACATCTCGAGTGGAACAGCTTTTTCGACTTGTGATCCGAAGCTGACGAAAGCTTCGACCTCGTCCTTTGTCTATGAATTCACAGTAGGTATTGTACGAACAGGCACCTCGGAGGGGACTATAGTCCATTGTTCGTGCTTATATTGTATTTAGGCATTACGAGTCAGCCCGGTATAATTGTTACTGTTTCCGTGGCGCTTATCGAACACGCTGCTCTGCTGCATTCCCACGCGAGTCATCGCCTGGCCCTCGTAATTACTCGAAAATCATTAAACTTCCACGACCGCGCTCACCATAGAATAGAAACGTTTCCCGAAATAATCTCTCGCTCGACGGCGCGACCAAACCGACGGTCGTTCGTGCGAGGCGCCAACACCTACGCGATACACGTTCCAGCTTTATGACCGCGCGTTTCCGCGGCGAAGAAAGAAGAGTGTCCCCTCATCGTTTGTAACGCGACGGGCGAGCATTTCGATGTTCTTCGGGGCCGAACAATGCAAAGTTCGTAAGCTCTCGCGTTACGAGAATTCACGCTCTTTGAAAGGGTTGGAAGGGAAGAGAGAAACAAAGAGAGAGAGAGAGAGACGTAGATCGTTAGGTAGGTGGATAGCAGATCGGTAGGAAGGTGGAGAGAGAGAGAGAGAGAGGCAAGTCGCGTAGAAGGGAGCGGCCATTTTGTTTCCGGTGTCCCGGGAGCACTTCCGGTCACCGTCACGCAGTTCTGCGTCGCGAAGTGCCCCCGAGCTCCTGAGATCTCCTTTCACGATTATATTCAAATTAAATGCGGGAGTCTGACCGGTAATATACTGCCGCCAATTTAGCTACAACCCCCCGGACGGTGGTTCGCCTTACCTCGCCACCGCCTAACCATCCCCCCCCGACTTTAGCGGCCTGGAAGAATCCGTCCGTTTCTATCTATTATTCCCTGCTGTTAATCCGTCCGTCCGTGCTTTCGAAAACTTGACCACCGCCGATGGGACGGAACGAACTTTCCCCTCCCTTCTTCTCGCAACTCTCCAGCCACTCTGGCGAGGGAGAGGAGGACGCGGGTGGCCACCGAACAATCTTCTTCGAAACAGATCGGCAACCGGGGGTAATCGTACACCAAAGGTATCGATCAGAGGCGAAATTTCGATAACGTGAAAGGGGAGGGAAAAACAACACCGGTTGGACTTTTGTGATCGCGCCAATAAATGCGCGTCAGACAAGGAATTCGCTTCCGGTTTTCGGTGCAAAGCAAGGCCGCGTATCGCGTTCAAGCGCCGCTGCATCCGAACAGTGGGGTTTCAGTTGCACCATTTTCAATGGTGATAATCCGGCGTGCCGAGGGCCTCGTTGCACGAACCGAACCAGCTTTGTCACCGGATAACCTAGACTCGCATTGCCAGCTCCGGTAGCGGCACCGATAGACGGCCCTCCTCCCTCCCTTCTCTCTCTCTCTCTCTCTCTCTCTCTCTCT